TTTCAAAATTTTCCCGGGGGTACATGCCCCCGCTTGACAGGGGCGGATCTAGGATTTTTCGCACGTTTTCGCAAAATTTTATGACGTCATCGATGACGCAAAACGTGATGACGTCATTTGACATGAAGTCATTTGATATCAGGATGATAGTCCAAATTTTGTGGAAGTATAGATATTTTGTTTTATCAAACTACAAATGCGTAAATGACATAATTTTCGTACCTGCCAATGTTCAGCATATGATATATTAATATATAGATCGAGTAGACTGTTTCGCCCTACAGTGTATACCTTGGCTCATCAGCATGCCTAGGAAACACGTTTACCAAAAATAGTAAACCGTGATCCAACAAGGACAGCTCCAGTTGAAAAAGCTGAACACAAGCACATATTTCTGGCTCCTTAAAACCAGATTGCTTGCTTTCACACCTTTTGCAAGAGCAAAGGGAGTTGGGCTAGAACTTAGAAATGGGTGACAATTAAATGAACAATGAACACCACCTAAAATGAGCAATCTGGTTTTAAGGTGCCATAAACCCACCTCACACCTTTCACCGCAGCAAAAGGAGCTTAGTTAAAAATGGGTGACAATACGGGACATTTCATGGATGTGAAATTGCCTTGTTTTTCCCTTTAGCCTCTTCCCCAGTCCTCCTATTACTAACCTATGTCTAATCTAATTAAATTCATCATCTTGTTATATACTGAAAATGTACAATATTGCAAGTGAAATGGTCAATGGTGCCTCAAAGCTGCAGCTTCAGTGGAAGCCAACTTTTATTGAAAACAAGTTTATTTTGCCTGGCATTTTAAACATATTTAAATCACAGTCGATTCAAATACAAAATATTTCATTACAAATGACTATTACTTTACTTATCTAGTTATCTGAAATATTAAATTGGCAAGGTTTTTAACACAGTATTCTATTATATTCCTGTACTATGCTTACATACTGTATATAGACAGTCACATACTATATCAACATGGAGTTTGTCTGTCAGGGCCTGAAATAATGTTCCCAAAGTTATCGATCATGGTGGTCGGCAGTCATGACTTTCCCTGCTTTTTCAGGTTGGAAACCCTGCTTTTTCAGGTTGGAAACCCTGCTTTTCCACCGATCATACGCAATTTCTTGCCTATTATTGATTAGTAATCAGTTGTTATTTCAAGCCCTGGTCTGTTGAAAAATTTAACTGGTTCAAGATGCAATGGACCTCTCTCAAGCCAATGAGATCAGACCCGATATTTGGCATCAGCTTTTGTCTACAAAGCCCGAATGTTTTTTTTTTTTTTTTGGGGGTAACCTGAGATCAGGCTCAATTTTACAAATAACAGCCTGACACAATCCTTAATCCGATCGCTTTCCACCCACAGCAAAGTTTATATTTAGTATCCAATCAAAATGTCGCAGGAGAAATTTAAATTTCACACAACGACAACAACAATCTAATTATAGTTGTGATCATTATAAATAATTATATCAATGACAATATATAATGTAATTAGCACCAACCAATCAAATGACAGATTAAAAAATCTTTTGTCTCATAAACCAATCAGATTTACAACCGAAATACGGTTGTAAAAACATGGACTTTTGTTAAGATTTGTATCAGGCCTATTTATTTATTTATAGGCCTGATCGCAGGTTAGGGGGGGGGGGAATTATGGGAAGGTGGTGATCTTGAAAGGCCAAGTTTGGTTGATGATGAAGAACCAAACCCCAGGAAGTTTTTTTCTCATGTCAGTGTTGTGTACAAGAGTGAGGTTATTGCTATTGGAGGCGAGAGTGGTCTTTTTGCAAGCCGAGATATTTAACTTTAACCACATGTTCCAGAAATTTATCAATTACGTTTCCTACAGTACATATGTTAGGAATAATTTCCTGGTGAATTTCATCATTACCAAGCCAAGTCATTTAATTTAAGTAGTATTCAACCATAGTGCTTCGCTTATAGCCTTTTTGTGTCCTATAAGTGCCGAAATAGACCTTTCACACTTGCACTGTAAACATTTAAACTATCAAGGTCAAATTAGGTCATTGGTACCTGTCAATGCTTAGGAAACAGAGCTATACAAGCAATTGTCAGTTGCATCAGATCTAAAAATATAACCACAGATTATATTATTATTATCTTTATAAAGTACATTTGCAGAGCTATTATCAGTCAATCAATACTCTATAAAGCATGTACACAATAAATACTTTTTATCCAACATGATCAAATATTTGAGATCAAATTTCTGCCACTACTCATACACATATTAATGAATATGTATGCAGTATATAAAACTTTGGACCTAACCTCGCACAATTATAATGCAAATCGTACGTTCAATTCAACGATTTATTGTTCAAAATTCAAACCACTTTACCTTATTGCCATAATGCCATACACCTCTTTATAATTTCCTGAAATAGACGACGAGAATTCGAGAAATCAACACATCTCAGCCAGATTATTAGTTTCGGCCAAGACAATTTTCTTGCATCCATCGAATTTACTCCACAGAACGCCAGTAAGCATTCCTTATCGTCACTTTCAAATAACGATCTAACTTTTATTATTATTTTTTATTTTTTTTTTCTGTGTTGGTGTTGTGTACTCAGGTGAATAATATGTTTGCGATGTTACTCTGAGTGCATATCCACACCGGGCGAGCTTGAAAAATATGCCCGGCCACGGTGGGATTCGAACCTACGACCTTTGGAATACTAGCTTTTATTAATTCTAAATCTACGTCGTTCATTTCGATAATAGTAAATAAATACAAACAAAATAATTTGCTTGTAAAATTGTACAGAACTGCAACAAAGCCACCAAGTGCACAATGCTTCCAAATTGAAGATTAGAAGGCCAATCAGAGGAGATGTTCTTTAACTCTTTTGCGCAAATTGTCCAATCAGAAGCTGCTATCTATTTGCAGAATTAGTCAAAATAGTCAACATTAGTCGCAACCGTTAGTCAAAATAGGTCTGACCAATCAACATGCCCGTAATGTGTAATCTGAGCATATTTGACCAATCAAATCACATGAACTAAAACCCAGAATAGTCAATTTTCATTTGAATACCGCTTATTTGACTCATCGTTTGACTAATCAATCGCTGGCTCAATGTGCAAAAACTGATCGAAGTTTATATGCTGGAGTGTGATAGAGTTTTGATTGCGTGATCAGAAATGAAGAGAAGTATTTGCGCTGGGAAAAAATTCAAAAACCTTAGTCCAAATTTTTTTATATGCCTTTTTTTACGTTAGTCGCGTGACTAATCTGACTACCCCTAGATCCGCCCCTGCCCCCGCCCCGCACCCTCCTAGACGGTCTCGCACTTCGGCGTGCATGAGGTTCGCCCCCCCCCCAAAAAAAATAAAATTAAGGTCTGGCTACGCCACTGGTTATAGCTGTACGATTATAGCTACAAAGAGTTGAAGTTATTATTGTTTAAAGTAAAATAGAGCTGAAGTTAATAAATTAAAGGTTTACAAAATCTCTCTTCAGACTCGCGCGTTCGCCAAAGCTCGACGGCTCATATTTTTCGTTCTGCCTTTTTTTCCTGTTTTGACCCCCTCCTCCCCGCAGTGAAAATTCCTTTAAAAAGGCACTGTAGTGTTAATCATTAATTGCACGACTTGCCCGTGCGATTATTACTCGCTTGGGCACTACTCGCTGGGGCACCTGTGCCCCGGCGAGTATAGGTTTCGGCTCTGATTTTTCTCCGATTGATAGCCACAAAATAGAATACTAATGAGCTACCTACTTTTACCCAAATTATCCATTTGGCTCCTGCCAATTTTTACCCAAATTATCCATAAATAACCCTAATTATAAAATAACATATATATAACGCGTATTCTGATTGGTCGAAAGCCGTGCTTGGATCAGGCCATCCAAACACGGAAGACTACCGTGTTGTTGTTATTTTATAAAACAATTACTTTATGGTTTCCGTGTTTGGATGGACTGATCCAAACACTTGGGAATGTTGCTCGAGTTAAGAAAAGCGGGCAAAATCACTCGCCTTCGGCTCGTGATTTCGCTCGCTTTTCTTAACTCTCGCAACATTCCCGCGTGTTTGGATCAGGCCATCCAAACACGGAAACCATAAAGTAATTGTATAGTATTGAGAACAATTCAAGAATATTACTAAAAAAGCCAAAGCTGCTGTTTATTTTAACCAGTATGAACATGTTTACGTTCTTTTAAAACTGACATTTTACTGCATTGAGGATTCAACGACAAGAACAATGAATTTAAGCGGTCAAAATGACATCTTATAGCCCGACAAAAATAGAAATACAAAGTAAGAGACAGCGATCGCCGATGGCGATGCACAGGAACAATTGTATGAAATATAAACTCGATATAAGACTGCTAATTAACTGAACTGAATCGTCGGGCTGGCTACGCCACTGGCCATCGCATGATTACTTATACTAATTAAGGCGTATAGTATTCAGTAGCAGTATAGTAATTATCTTGAGCGAGGTTCAGATTTAACTTCTACTACCGCTACCACTACCTTTCAATGGTTTAGCACGCATCAGATTGGTTAATCGGATATATCGCACACAGCTGATTAGTCAATGGTGGCATGGTTCCTTAATCAGATAGCGGTGGTGGGAGTCAAATCTAAACTTCTATTTTTTTCGATTTCCGGCGGTAAAAATAATAAATCCATGTTTCGTCCTACATATTAAGTTGTAATTATTATCATTACTATACTATATATACATATTACTAATGGCACACAGTCACACACGCCTCGTAATGAGTTACGAATTGAAATTTAATTTAATGAATATTAATGAATGTTTTTGAAATATTTATCACCTACCTATCTGTAATTTTTTAACTAATTTGTAAAACCTTGCGTTATTCGGGCGAGAAATGATCTTTGTTGACGCGGCAAGTTTTAAATTTGTTAAACTATCAAATTAATTTCAAATTTAAGTCTTAAGGTAACTATACTTAACTTACTCTAAAAGGGAAATCCGCCTATCAAACATGCAGGCTATCTAGTTTTACTTGAATTGTTGTGCTCATTGTTATTTAATCATGAAGACTACTACTCCACTGGGGACAAACTACGGCGATCAATGTCTGTTGCACATTTTATTGTTGTCAATGTTTTCAAGATTTTACGGTCGTTGGAACAGCATTATGCATGTGGCTATTATAGCCACTTTACATTAAGTATTATGCTTACCTAATTACATACTTATCAATTGTGATACTACTTTTATCCTAACCGGTTGGAATCGATATCAGAGCACCAGGAGAAAACTCACGATTTCGACAGAGCATTGGCCGACACTTTTCACACGATTCACATGAGTGAGGAACGAGAGAATCGAACCCACGATCTTATAGTTGAAAGGCACTTGCTCTGACGACATTCGACAGAATAATCGGAACGGCACGAGAAGTGGATTTCCATGATTTTCGTTCATCTTTGCCTCCTTCCAACAGGGCGTCTTTCAAGTTTATGGGCGAAACTTTTACGGCATATCGGACAGCGAGTTCTGGATAAAAAGAGAGAAGAATATACCACATTTAGGAACCCCAATGTACATTTCTTCATTTTGGTGAATTTCTGATGGTTTGCAATTTATGAAAGATATGTTTCGTTTTATCATCTGATGATATTTGTTTTTGTGTGTATTTCTAGTGTATTTCTATTGTATTCTCTTTTCACCTCTCTCCTACTATATGTATAATTATTGTAAGCAGGCCCTTCGAATACTAATTGAAGGGCTCCTTTTACCAAGTGGAATGTATAAACTGTTGCAAATATGCCCAATTGCATTTACACTGCAGTGAGCAGAGGTCTCTGAGGAGAATAAGAAACCTCTACTTCATACATTGTACTGAACTTCACAAATTACTATACTACTTTTTCAAACATACAATGAAAGCTGAATAAAAATGTACTCAGTCAATGTTATTGTGTCTGGTCGTAAACAGCACTACTTTCTTGTCTCCATCCATTGATTGGAGCAATGTGTCGTGTATTAATTATATGTTTGTAAATATTCTGAACGATAAATATGGACTTACATTCCGTTTCGAATCATCCGATTGGCGCATTCTTTGTGAACCTTGTGGGAACATGGAAGAATCTGGCAGCCCGTAAATGCGTCCTGTAGAAAGTCAAAACAAATTAAGAGTTTTTGAAACGCATTTCGCAAAGACACTTGCGGGGTTACTGGATGCAAACCGACACAAGTTGACATTAACAAGACTTTAGAGTAAATAGGACGTTTAAAAAATCGAAGTTCATTTAATATTTACATGCAGTTTGATCCTGTAATCCTTCAAGTTTCCGATACACTGGAGCATCATATTAAACATTCTGTCGCAAACAATTTGATATTTAAATATTAGATTATGCATTCACCTCCAAACAGATGCCACATTCATCATGGGCTGAATCAGGACGACATTTATGATTTCCACGAAGTTGAACATCAAGACAAATACCACAAACATCACAATGAAACGAGCGATCCCCATGAATTCTAGAAAATAAACGTTTCTTAATTCTCAATCTCGATCAATCACTCTGATAAAATAAAGGTTGTTCAAAAGTAATCGTTACATTACCTATTTTCATACTCTTTTGATTAAAAAGGAAGGATGCTTAATTTTATATTCTCACCTACAAATGCCACATTTATCGCAATGATAGGGGTGATCATCATTTCCAGTAAGATGTTTGCACAGTCCACAGTAGAAATTAGCGAATTGAGTGTTACATGAAACACAGAATTGGCCATTTTCCCCAAACTAGAAAGAAAGAAAAATGAAGAAAAATTATGAAATCGTCGTCTAAAGGCTGAAATTAATATATTATTCTCCAAAACTGAAATATATTTAATTTGACCATTTTTGCTGCACGAAAGAATGAAATCCAAAAATGATAGTTTACATATTTCTTGGTAATAAAATTTACTGGATACCAGGAATTATTTTCCTAACATAGACGAGCTCAATCCTAGCAGTATTTCTCACTACTGCTCCCAGTTCAAGCCGTTAACTTTAAAATTGTTGATGCTGACATATTATGTCTTCCTTTTTCTTTCAACCACTTTTCAATAAAAAGTTAAAAATTCATGCTATTTATTTAAAAACATAAAAGCTTGGGATCTAAAAATATATGAAACGTTTCAATATGGCGTAAAAACTGAATAATTTTATACTGCATATTTTTAGACTTTTCAGTTTTTACGTTTCCAAATAAATTTCAAGGAATTTTAAGTACTAGATAAAACATGAGCAGCCGATCTGTATCTGATATACAAACTCGAGCCGAAGGCAAGAGTACTGTATGGGCGTCCAAAAGGGACAAAATTATGAACACACACACAATTAATTCCAATGCTTGTAAACACTATGAAAGCTCACACATGTAATACGAAACGCTCACAAAAGACATTGGAACCACGCGCAAATAAGCCGAACCTCTCACGCACAAGTCGAAATGTCACACACACAATACGAACCTCTCACATACAAGTCGAAATGTCACACACAAAAAAGTTGAACTTTCTTCGTGGGAGGTTCGGCAAATTAGCATGTTAATTTATTTATCGCGAAAAAATTTGCATATATTTCCGCACTTTGTTTACGGCGGGAGAATAAAATATTGCGATAGTTAGCGAACTATTTGTCCCAGACAATAGGCCCAGGCAAGATCAGCAATTTGGTGCCACTGAAGATGATCATGAAATAAACAATCGATTTTGCTTGCCGAAAACTAGAGCTGATAAAAACAATGCCATTCCGCATGCCAACTCGCCATCGCCGTTGACGCCGTGAAACAGTGTAAATGGTCCTGTTATTACTTCATTGACTTTGTGTACGAGTTCAGGTTTAAATACAAGCATCCCAGTACAATGAAATAGCACAGAAGAGCAATTTAAACTATGGCTTGCAGCCTTGCAACAAAGATCTGGACCAACGAAACAACGTGGTCGGTCTTGTATTTTAATATAATAATACTCGACGCCGTGCAAATATTGTTAATCATTGACGCCAATACTGCTAAAACCTCTTCTGAAAAGAACGAATATTTAATTTCCTGAAAGATGATGTTTTGCCTGTCCCCCAAGGCGTGAATATAAAGTCAAACTGCAAAGACTGCACGAAGTCGAGGAAGTAACTACAGGACCATTTACACTGTTTCTCGGCGTCAACGTTTCCCGTTTTGAGCTCTAGTTCTCGGGGGGTGGGGGTGGGGAGGGGGCCTTCTCGGCAAGCTTCAGTGGCATCAAATTGCTGATCTTGCCTAGGCCTATTGTCTGGGACAAATAGTTCGCCAACTATTCCCCGGACCAACGACTGAATTCTATCTTCCGTCACAGGCAAGTAGTATCCTCTTTCATGCTGTCGCATGCGACAATGATGATGTATGTTTAATGAATTTTTTAAGTTTCATTAAAAGTGTGTTGAAAGAGAAAAGAAGGTGTATTATGTCTGCATCGCAATTTAAATCCTACTTTCTCCTTGATTCAATTATTTCTTTGTTTAGAGCTGTACTGAAAGAATCACAAAGATGCGCACAACATTAGCATCTTTTACGTTACCTGTTGTTCTTTCCCGCATTCGACACACTTGACCATCGTTGTGTCACGTGATTTCAGTTTCATTCTCCCACACGTGCTCTCGTTGTTATGACAACGGTGGCATGGCCAGTATTTATTGCAGCATTCGAATTTCACCAAGCACCTTCTTTTGTAGTGATTGCATAGCCAATTGTCTTGTATATCGCCGTTCCTTGGCCCATGAAAGTGGTCATCCGGATGGCGTTGAGAAGAACCATTGTATTGTGCAGGACGATTCTGGGAACCATGAGATGATGGCTGATTCGATTCTGGACGTCTTTGAGATGAAGGCTGTTCTGCGTTCGGCGTCTTCTTTCCGTTGATTTTTCTTGTTGTAACTGTAACATCATTTGTGCTTTCCTTGTTCTTATGACCTCGCTTTCCTTGTTTAAATTGATTAATGGCAATAAAATAATATTTTTAATTTGTTGATTGTTTATTCTCTTTTCATGTTGTTTCAGGAGTAGTGGAAAGGTGGGGTAAAGGTGGCAACATAACTTCATAAGAGTATGGGGCGGTGGCAGTGGCTAGCTTCCCTTCCAGTAGAAATAAAGTTGGGCAAATTATAAACGTAAGATGGGAAAAAGTTTGAGGAAATAATTTTTTACAAGAAGAAATATGTTAAATAATAGTCGAAAACGTTTATTCTTGACGGCGGTACAGATTTCGGAAAAGCATAATATATCGGAAAAAGTATTTATTTAAAAGTTAATAAAATTGTTGAAATAAAGCAATGGAATAATAAAATTGTTTGTTTACCTACCTTTTGTGTGATTAACTGCATCATCATCAGGAACATCTTTTGAATTTTCATGCGTTGAAAATCTATTGCCACTTATGGTGGCAACATTTCTGCCGGCAACATTAGATTGCTGAACATTTTCCGTGCGTTGGCAATTCCTGACAATGGATACGCCATTGTTCTCGTCAGCTGTACTAGGTTGTTCAAATGTTTCAACATTGCCCACCCGGTCAACGGTGTTGGATCTTAGTGGAGATCTTGGAGTGTTATTATCTGGTGGAAGAACTCTAGATGAGTGTACTCGATTCAAATTGGCCTCTCGTTCTTGACTATTGTTTATCGACTTATGTTGATTGATCAACTTTCTCAACTTATCGTAGTCACCATTATAAAATTCATCAATAAGGTACACTAGATCAAATCTTGTGATTGACTCGAAGAATACACGGAGCTGACCTAAATCCGATGCATTAATAACACCTTTCTGGTCCAATTGTAAAATAACTTTAGATGGACATAGATAACTCTCGACTGAGAATTTTTCCTTTGCCCATTCTTTAAGCTTGAAAACATCACTGTATAACAACCTATCAGATATTGTTAGTAATAATAATCTGTAAACGTTGTAGACATGGGCATTAACTGAAGAAGAAGGTTCATTTAAGAGACCCAAAGGCTGTGCATTACTTCTTTCGTGTACCTCGGTAGGGAATGGCGGTGAGTCCAGTGAAACATCGATTTTTTTATTGTTCGGTCTTACATTGCTGCATTGGTTATGATTTTGAGCTCCACTTCCATTGCTTTGGTGATCGCCTTGACATGCATTTAACTCCACCAATTCTCTACTTGCGCCTACAGATTGCTCTCCTGATGGAGATGGCAAAGACAAAGCAGGCAACGGTTTCTTTTCATCCTCGGACTGAACACTGTTGGACTGAACGGCAGAATTTATGGATGACCTGGGACTAAAATGAGACGAACTATTACCTGCCATGTTAACAACTAACGATGCCGATAGCTTTGGAGAAAATAGTTTCTGAAATGTCTCGCTTTTTTCCCCTAAGTTCGTTTTGGAATCGCTCTCCACGGAAAGTCGTCCAAAGTCAAGTAGTGTGTCTTTGTATTCTTTTTGCAAATTTCCATATATATCTTTCAACTGTTCAAGTTTGTTTTCTAGGGATTTATTTTTTTCAGATATATTTTTTTTCTCTATTGAATATTCATATTTCATTTTGAGAAATTTTCTTTTCTCGCAGGCAAATTGACTTTTCATTTCTTTTATCAGCTCATCCTTTTCCAGCAATTGCTGTTTTACAGCAACATTTTCTTCCATCAGCATTCGATTATTTTTCTCTGTCTCACAATTTAGCCCATCAGGACATGTTTCAAACTCATTATTCCCATCGAAAGTTTGCGTAGCTTGGTCACGTTTACAGACATCGCTTTTAAAATTTGTGGAGGATAATAATGCTTGGATTTGGTTTATGAATATTATGGCAGTGTTTATGTTCATAACAATTAAATGGGAACAATTTATCCCAAAGTTATCAGGAGCACAACCAACAGGATTGAACCAATACTCTAATATACAAACAGTTTTTATTCTTGTATAATTCCTTAAGGACTCAATTTGAAAATTTTGGAATTTTATATCTTGAACTATCGAATAAACCAATACATTTCTTCCGCCGCTAAGAGTCAGTATAACATAGCATTTTTGTCTTGCTGTTTCACAAATCACCAACAAATTCATATGGTCGGACGCTGGCCCAAAAGGAAGTAAATAGACTTCCATGGTGCAATAAATCTTAAATAAAAATAAAACACTGGTAAGGACTTAAATGAGAGGAGAAATTGTACGATTTGGACCGTTTATGCAGCAAGGTCTATGCAGCATAAAATATTGTTTTTAACACGAGAAGATGAAAGTAATATTTTCAAGTCGCCGTGTAATGTTCTGTTCATTATATAGTCATAATAAAAAATTGTGAAATTTCACGCTTAAAAGGAAATTGGAAAAGTCACGTGATCAATATCTTCACTAGTCAAGATATAGAAAATATCTCGCTGTGTATTTTTGTTAGTATCTCACTCTCTACTATCTACTAAACGAGGTATATATAATATTTTTTTTTACAAACTTTAGTCGTGAATGACAGGTTAATCCTACGGGGCTTATTGCTCCATTTACAAGGTCCCTAATAATATGTATAAAAAAATACATTACAGTATTTACAACACATTTTATCCACAAAACTGGACAACGGACGACACGTGAGTGACACTTGACACATATACTTAACGGAGAATATTGGGGAATGGGGAAATATCTCGGGGAATATATCTCGGGGAATATATAATATTCCCCCTTTTCAAGATATTTTAAAGGGGGAATACCGAGGAATATCATAAAGACCAAAGTTTTATCAATATATGACAAGAAAAGTCGATAATCGTTATAATATGTTTTTGATAATAGTAACAAGGTTGAACGTACAAAAATGACATTGTTCTCAATTGAATATTGACATTGTTTTTATAGGTCAAGTGTCTTAAATTCCTAATTTTCTGTTTTCTTCTGTTTTCTTCGTCGTCGAGAAATCGAGTTTGGGTTCGCGCATCGCAGGCTCAGGGTGAAACAATTAAGCCAAATGCCATCGGTTCATTGATTTCTCGATTTAAATGTTATGGTAACAAGCTCGTATTTATGTATGTAATAGCCGGCCGCATGCCATGCTTGTGGTACATTTTTCGTTTATTAGCCCATAGTCTTGCACGCACGTGCACAATTGCGAACTCCGGCCAGGGTAGGATGCTCCAGTCACATATTCTGTCCAGTTTCAAAATGGCGGCTTTTACGTATATTTCGCACAGTTTCGTTGAATTTTCAAAGAATTGTGCAGGTGTCCTATGGATTTTACATTCTTACGTTGTTTCGCACTCTGGACTTTCTTGGGTGTTGAATTAATGTGTTTTTCTTTGTGTAACGACTGGAAACCCCAAAATTTTGATCCAGCGAATTTATACAATATAATTACGGGACTAGAAAAAACAGATTTGCAATAAATTTGCACACTTGCAAATTAGTTGCAAATTCAATAACTAATTTTGCAAATTGCTAATTTTACAAATTTGCCAGCTGCTTTGCACAATCTGCAAATTTATTTGTAACTTTGCAACAAATTTGCCAGCGAAGGTAAATGGACGTGACCTTTCCCCTTATAACTAAAATTTTGATTTAGACAAAAATTTCATCACAGCTTGAAAGAGCATCACAAAATTAGTCATATTTCAAAGTTTTGTTGCAAAATCTTGTAAAATGTGGATAATATATATATAGCCTTGCGAAGTTTGCCGTTTTTTCAGTCATTTTGTATTACAAACGGGAAATTGACATCCGATTCGGGTGTTGGGGCTAGCTGCAATTTCCCGTTTGTAATGCAAAGTGACTGAAAATTGCAAACTTCGCAAGGCTCTATTTTCCTCATTTTACAACATTTCGCAACGAAACTTTGGAATATTACTAATTTTGTGATGCCCTTTTAAGCTGTGATGAAATATTTGTCTAGACTTGCCTAGATCAAAATTTTGGTTATAAGGGGAAACTATTCATTGCGTAAATTGACTTTGCCAAAAAAATACTAATGACTTTGCCATGAACATCCTGTGGCATATGTATATTTATAGTTACAACAAATTTGCCAGCGAAGTAAATCCGTTGCGTATTTATTACAAATTCTTGACTTTAACTCTTCTTGACTTTGCAAGAAATTCACTAATGCCTTTTCAACATGAAATTTCAATGGCAAATTTATATCTAAATTTACAATAAATTTGCAAGCGAAGCAAATGGCTATCTTTAATAAAAGGGGGAACGGGAATCGGGGAAGGGAATCGGGGAATCGGGGAAGGGAATCGGGGAACCGGGGAACGAGGGAATCGGGGAATACCATATTCCCCCTTTTCAAGATCTCTAAAAAGGAGGAATATCGAGAATCTAAGATTGATTTAATCCCTTTGACTTGTAAAGAGTAGCAAATTCTTTCAGACTACAGACTATATACACAGACAAATTACACTGCGCGCATTGCAATTGATGTTTTGCTGATTTGCCGTACGGAAACTACTATACTTTCGGCGTCTTTTGTCTGAATACAAACACTGTAATGTGACACTGCAACTTGTCAATATAGTTATTACATTAATCCATTTATTACGTACATTAAACACCTTTGGCTAACAGTTCAAAACATTAGTAAGAATAGCCTGCGGGCAGTCCCATACCGCAGGCTATAGTAAGAACTGATTACTAAACGTTTTATCTAAAACATGCTATTTGACCGGCAAAACATCGACAAAATATACTTACTCTAGCAGGTTTTTTTTTCAAACCAAAAGTAAGCATTTTACTTCAAAATGTTAATACTGTAATGTTGTGATGGGCGCGATACCGAGTACTCGGTATTCGATACCAGCGATACCACAAACAGCGGTATCGGTATCGATTACTGACGTAGTATCGTTCGATATTTGCACCTATTTTTAAACGACCGTTCGATACTTGCACCCTTGTTTAATGTCACTTCTTGGTCGAATAAGACTTAATGAACCACTACAATAACTCTTAATTTTCCAAATGTGGTGCGCCAAGTCATGTGTAGAAAATATTTAATAATTACGTTTCGGGCTTTTGGTTTACTTATAGCTTTACTTAGGAGGTTACATACAGTAATGTAAAATGTTTTTCCGCTGACCGGCAGGTATCGAAAGTAGACGATACTAGCAATTTAAGTACCTACTTCCGGTATCGAAAATTGAAATTTTGTGTTTATTTTGGTATTGAAATAGGTATCGACCGATAACGATCTTAAAAGTATCGCTATCGAATTAAAAATCCTTGTATCCGCCCATCACTACTGCAAATGCGGTGTTTCCACAACGCACCATTCAAATTACCTTAATTAATTTTGACCTGGGATCAGCCCACTGATATACACTAAAGCCTGTTTTCCAATAGGCGAAATTTTGCGCGCGGAGCGGAAATTTTCTTTGTCTTGTGATTTCTCGGGTGGAACTAATTAGAAAAGGCAAAGAAAAATTCCGCTCCGCGCGCAAAATTCCGCCTAGTGGAAAACAGGCTTAAGACTGGATAGAGCATCGTAATCGGAAGGCCCAAGTAAAAAGTGAAGCCGGAAGTACGTCATGTTTTGAGGCCGGCCGCCATGTTGAATGACCCCACTTGACGAGTGAAAGGGTATAGATAGATAGATAGATAGATAGATAGATAGATAGATAGATAGATAGATAGATAGATAGATAGATAGATAGATAGATAGATAGATAGATAGATAGATAGATAGATAGAAAGATAGATAGATAGATAAATAGATAGATAGATAGATAGATAGATAGATAGATAGATAGATAGATAGATAGATAGATAGATAGATAGATAGATAAACTTTATTTAAACACATTGGCCTTTTCAGCAAAAGCTGATTTCCAAAAGGGATGTGTACTTACAAATTATTATTTATATACTAGCTCTAATATTACATACATAACAAATACAATTATATACCTGTTTAGACAAAAAATTAACTACTACTTTAAGTCGAGATTAAGGTCGAGGAAGATAGCTTTTTACAGAACGAATTATACGATACCGAATTGCGTATCTCTTCAGGTATCTGATTCCATATTTTAGCCCCACTATATTGGAAGCTTTTTTTTAAGGATTCCGTTTTTGGTCTTGGAATATAAAACCTTGTTGAAGAACCTCTCAGATTATGGTCATGAATGGTATTCAGATTTTGGAAAGCTTCACATAGTCGTTGGGGGGCTAAACCATTAACTATCTTGTACATGAGCCTGGCTTTCATTTGTGCCCTACGCTCTTCAAGTGTTACCCAGCCTAGAGATTTTCGTGCCAAAATAGACTGACCATGTTCATTTTTTAAGTTCATGATCAACCTAGCCGCTCTGTTTTGGAATTTCTGTAGACGTTCGCTTAGGCCTTTATCAAGTGTATCCCATACTTCACAGCAATAATCAAAATAAGGTTGGATTAAGGCATTATAAACTTTTATCAAAATGTCTTGTTCGACATACTCCCTCATTTTCCTAATAGCCCCAATACCTGATGATATTTTACTGCTAATATGGTTAATGTGTTTTTCCCAACTCACGTTTTCGTCTAATTCAACTCCAAGAGCTTTGGTATTTTTAACTTTTTTAATCAATTGATTATTTATTTTAACTCCTTGATGGGTATCAATATTACTTATTTTATGTCGTGTTCCAATTAAAACATACTCGGTTTTCGCTATATTTAGACTTAGTTTATTTGCACAAAGCCATTTCTAAACATTCCTCATGTCTACGTTCGCCCTCTCTTCCGCCTCACTAATTGTT